AAAAGAATTTCTATATTATTATTGACTATTCCAATCATATGATCAAAATATATTCTTCATAACATTAAAAATAAATATATGGTTTCACCTCATAGTCTAAATATATAGAACATTATTTTAAAGAAAACAAATAAATCCCAGAAACGAAACGAAAGAGAAGAAAAAAAAAGAAAAAAAGAAAAGGAAAGTCCTAAGAAAATTTTGCATACAATTATTTCTTTTTTTTTTAGTTTTTTTTATTTGACTATTATGTCAAGAAAATAACAAATGAAGAGTTTTATAGAGTGAAATGTATCTTGTTGTTGAGGTTACTTGAAAGAACTCATTTTTTTTTTTTTTTTTTTGTTTGAAGCCCAGAGAGAAAGATTATTGTGTTATGGTTAATCATTCATCCATATTGAACAGTTTGTAGAAAAAGAATAACGAACATTTGCATCTATTGACTGATGTTTTTCATAGAACAATTTATTGTTCTAATAGTATATATAGATATAAAAATAAATCAAATATACAAATTTTAAATCTTCATTTCAAAATTAATACGATGATTACTATTATTATTATTATTATTATTTCATTAATTTACAACAAAAATAGCAACTATAAAGAAGTTAAAAATAATGTAAGAACATTTCCGCACAATAATAATACTATAGGAACAAAGATAAATTAGATTTGATTATTTCAAATAAGGAATATGTTGACCGAACATGATCTTTACCGTTCTTCTATAATTAAAACTATATAGATAGAAAAACTGATGAGTTTTTCTAGAAATAAAACAAAAAACTAAACATGAAAATTTATGGATTTAAATTTAAAAGAAACAAACAATTTTTTTTTTTATTGCCTATTTATCTCTAAATTAGATATTTTATTGTGTTCATATTTGTACAAATGGAAATTATACTATTATTTCATATATTTTATTATTTAAAAAAATTTATCAAGCATAAAAAAAAATTACCTCTATTTTGTGTAGAACTGTTTTTCTTTATGATAAATGAAATATTCTTATGTTCAATGTAGTGTGTAAGATCTAGAATGTTTGAATATTGAAGAATAATGATCTAACCAAACTGATTGAAAAAAAAAACAAACAAATGACATGTAAAAGTTTAAACACGAAATTTTAACGAACTATTTAACTGTCAAAATATTTAAATAACAGTAATTTAGATCACGTTCTTCTGTTAACATATTATCATATTATAAAAAATGACAGAATTTAGTTTATAATTAGTTTTTAACTTAAAAGAATGATTTGTAAAAATATCTGGAAAAAAGAATTTCTAGACCTAGCAGAAACAAATCAAGTTCATTTTTTTTTTCTATTTTATAAATGAAAATATCCCTGGATAAATATGAGAAAATTTGTTCTTGTTGCTATTTTACAACTTTTAGATTGAAATCAACTAATCTATTGACAATTAACTTCTTATTCTTAAATCAGAATAGAAATTTGTGTGAAGTATCCTTTAACTGAACAATCCATGCTTACAAATGGCACACAATATATATAAATCCAAAAATTGTCTAATTGATTTAATTTCTCATTCAATAAATTCAGAATCGATACAAAACAATAAATTTTGATGATAATATTCTGTGAAAAATAAAAACTAGAATTCATTTTTGTTCTTTACAAACAAATATTTTGATTGCCTATCAATTTTGAGAATTTTGTACAATCTACTGTTCAACAATTTTTTTTTTCTTTCTCTCAAAGTGATGATGGTCGGTGTTGTACACTCATTTTTGACACATATATAAAGTCATACAAGTAGATAAATATATGCAAATAGACGAGTATGAGAGAAATGTTTATTCAACTCTCAATTCAATATTCACTCTCTCTCAACAGTGGCTATTTAATTGATGAGTACTACTTATATATTCATCATGTTCGATATAGAATGAAAACGGAATGCTGCTTTCTGTTTTATTTTTCTTTTTTTTTTTTAATACAAAGACGACGAAAATATGTTTTCTTTCTTTTCCTCTGTTCCACTGTTTATTTGACCTCTGGACGAAACAAGAATTGAGACAATATATGTACTTGAATATGTACAGTGGCTACCATCTACTATGACGGTAATGATAGAATGAGGAAGAGGAAGAAATAAATGAAAAAACGATGCTATCTATTCAAATGTATCTGAAAACTAGTGGAACTATCAATTTTTAAGTCATAAATAAAATAATGTACAAAAAACATTTTTTACTCTATTTATTTTATCTCATAACTTTGTTTATTCTAACAAATGGTCGTCGTCAAAATCCATTAGAAGGTAAGATGAATTGTGAATAATTGTTTCGAAAGAAAATCAATTATTCTCGTTTAGGAACACAACAAGTTTGTGCTGATGCATGTGTACAATCAGAACCTCATTTTGAACTTGATCTAAGTGAACCACGAATATATCGTGAAAATGAAAATGTAGATGCAAAAGTTTGGCAGACAAGTGCGGGACGATGTCGAGAACCAGGTAAAGTCGTTAAATAAAATATATTTTTAACATAATTATGACTATATTTACATCTCTTTAAAGCTCTGTTAAAAATTCCATTGGATAAAATTGGTAGCTATGGTTTAATTAAATTGGATGTTGAATTTGGACCAGTATTACATAATTTTAGCATTGATATTGGCACAAATTATAATCAAAGTACTAAATATCTAGAGAAATTTTATTATTTTTATAATGTGTGTATTGTCTTCTATTATAGCTAATAATGATGAACACGATGAACTGAGTAATTTGAACATATTTAATCAAGAAATATCCATTGTACATCGACCACATTCATGTTTAAAAAGTTTAAAACCATCGATAAATCAACGATCGGTAACACTTATAGAACCAGGTGCTCGAGTAACAATGTTTATTAGTAATATGTGGTTAAAAATTGAAAATTTATATCGTACACAGCAAACAATGACACTAAAATTAAATGAAACTGGCTTTTTATTCAATAATAATCAAACATTAGAAATAAATTCATCGAATGATGATGCTTGTGGAAAACAAAATGAACCATCAAATTTTCTCTATATTGGATTAAATCGAAATATTGATGGTAACTTAGGCGGTATCGGTTTATGTTCAATGAATTTAACGTTTATCGAATGTGAAACGGATAATGGTAAGATTTTACTTTTTTTTTGATAATAATCATGAACTAAGGGATGACTTTTTTCTTTATGTTTTAAAGAGCCAGCACTCGAAGTTGATGTCTCGAAAAAGAGTTATAAACTACGTGATCACGATAATATCAATTGGATAAGTCAATTATCCTATTTGGATCCACATGCTGAAATTAAAGAATGTATAGCACAAGGTTGGTTGTTATAGGCGTGTACTTTTTTCATAGTTAATAATATGTTTTTCTCTATAATTAATTAAAGGAGTTGTCAGACTAACTTTTGATCCAAAGGGCGTAAGAAAAATTGCACGATTTGATTTGACATATGGTCCACATGTTCAAGGTTTTACATTTAATATTGGTGATTCGTCAACAAACAACGCATATGGTTTGTATTTCTAAATTTTTTGAATCAAATGGTATAATAATAAAAATCTCGCATTTCATTTTTAAACAGGTGGTGATGGTGGAACAACGTCAAATTCAGCTGAAATTCATAGCAATGATAATCGATTCTACGTAGGTCAAATATGTTCTAAGTGGTTTACTCATAATTTTTCTTATGTTGTCTTTATTCTAGATATGGGCTAATACAAAAATTTGTGGTGATACTTTATTATTGAAAATTGATTATAGTAAGTTATTCGTTATTATGTGATTTTTTGTAACAAATACTTGTCTCATTAGAAAATACAAATTATTTTTTGTACATTCTAGATGTAATTGAGCCATACGATAATATCACCATCTTTGTTAGGTATTTATTATTTGAGATTGTTTCCGTTACATTCGTCTATTAATTAAACTTTTCACTCGCTTTTTTAGTAATGAACGTGTCGAATTGACCAATCATCGATCATATCATGAAGTGTTTAAAAGTCCATATTTGTATGCTTTAGCTGGTCAAAATGTCACTTGTAATTGGTATGTACATGTCAGTTTTAAAAAAAAATCGACTTTTGAGTTTTAAAATTTGTTATCTTCTATTTACGTCTCCCAGCTTTTCACGATGTTTCTCTCAAATGTTATAAGCATTTTGCCAAGAGCCCTAAGAAAAGTGATCTGACTCGGCCACATTGCGTACCCGCTTGACCCCATCGAAACTTCGTCCATTCCAGTTCAAATTTTCAATACAAATACTAGACATCGACATGCCCAGATGTTTTTCGATTTAGCTCTCCATCATCTTTTTTTCCTAGGGAGGACGGCTGGTTTTTTGGAAGCTTATTATAAGAGCTATAAATTTTCTTATAAGTCATCAACGTTACATTTTGAAGACCCAAACCGAAAAACACCTGGGTGTATAGGAGCCTAGTACCTGTGGTAAAATTTTGATACACAATGAAAATCTAGTTTTCCACGAAACCATACCTAAATCCGAGTTCTGAGGTTTGAGAAAAACATTTTCTGTGAAAATACTCTGGTAAAAATTCCAACTCTCTCCAATCAGTCGTTACGATTCTGTAATAAGCCAAGAAATGAGAGGGGATACCCTTAAAAGAATTCTTTAATATCCAAGTGGTTTGATGGTTCGAGAAAAAGAAAAGGAGATAGAGACAGAGTCACTGGCTGGCACCGGTGCCGAAGAAGTGTCCTAAAAGAGACACTTATACATAAAGCTAAATAACATGAGATTTCTCTGATTTATTGAGACATATTTGTAGAGTTTTATTATGTTTAGTTTTGATACATTGTGTTATCCCGGTGTTCAACCGGATAACGATGTATGGTTTGGTATAAATCGCGTAATAGGTGGTACATATAGACCTGGAGTAGGTGTATGTTCAACAAAGGTCAATTGGATTCAATGCAAAAAATTTGGTAAAGATGAAATCTCTTCTAGTCTTATAAAATTAGAATGATATTTATTCATTTCTTTCTTGTAGATATTTCTCCACGAAAAAAATTTGATGATGTTATCATCCCAACTAAATCAACGTCAACAACAACAATAATTATGACAGAGAAAAGCACAAATGTGTTGACCGATACTTCGCCCGGGTTGACACATTCTCCGCCATTGATAAATAATTATACTAATGCATTATTAATACAGGACCAATCTACAACATCATCTGTACCATATTCTTCTTCTTCTTCCATATCGAAAATAGATGAGAAAACTAGTACCATTGCTGAACTATCTGTAATTCAAGATATAGAAAATGTGTTAATGGAAGAAACAACTTATTCACAAATATTAAATCAAGAAGAGAACTCAATATCATCAAGTGAAACACATTCTGTTTCAAATACAAATCGTCCATCAACCTTTTCTTTCATGGGATTGTTATCGAATGTTTTTGAAAATACTACCATGATTGAGAATATTGATATAGCGACAACACATCTCTCAGTTGAGTCGACTCCTCGTCAATCAGATGAGGAATTTTATGTCAATGCTGACGATAGTGATGAAATTGGTGACGATGTAACTCTATCAAATTTGATATTAAACATTACCACAACAACAGAATCCTCATCCACAATAAATTCTCTCTTTCAAAATTTAACAATAAATCATATTAAAAATTCAAATGAAACGATTGATATCAATCGAAATTCCAGTGAAGAAATGAAAGAGTCAAAACATACTACATTATCAACACAAGAACATTTTGTTACAACGGTGGAAACGGATGATGAAATTTTTCCAGAATATGCTCTTAATTCATCGGCTGGAGAAATTATTCTTGATACTCTAACAAACTCTAATAACATCACTTCAACAACAACATCTATGATTTTAAAAACTTTAATTTTAACCACGATGAATAATACTCCCATTCTAACAACAAGTGAAAATTATACAAATTCAGCAATATCAAATACTACTGAAATGGATAAAAATAATTCTTCAACAATTTCCTCATTAGGTTAATAATATTATTATTATGTATGCTAAAATATCGTCCATAACGGTGTATTTCTTTTTCTTTTCTAGCTACATCAAATCCTTGTACACTAGAAAATTTACAAGCAAATTTTGTTTATCATGAATATCCATTAGATAAACATAAATTTATATTTTGTGACAATTATGGTCAAATGAATGTTATTTCGTGTAGTAAAGAATATTTATGGGTACAATCAAAACAATCATGTATTAAACAGAATTAAATGTAAATCAATGTATATACTTGCCATTTTTCTGTAGATCAAATTCAGAAATGTTTAATTCAATATTTATGTAGTTTTCTAACTTTGTTCTCTTATGCTTAGTGGTGGTTTGTTTTTTTTTGAGAAAAAAAACTTGTGTACATCGTTTTCTTATCATTTTCTTTTAATAATGTCTTAATGGTTTTTTTTGTAGAGTAAATGAGTGAGACTAGTTATTTCAATGTAAATTAAAGTTAAACGTGCAATAAAAACAATTAGATATTTTTTTAGTTTTTAAAAAAATATAACTTCCATTGCTCTGAAAGAAACATAAATATTTTGTTCATGTGATCTTAGATGCGAGCGCTATTAGAAAGAATTTGTTGAAATATGGAAAAAAAAGTAGAATTAGTCTTTTTTTAATTAGAAGAAATTCATAATGATTAAAAATAAAAGTTCAAATAGAATAACTAATAGAATAGAAACACTAATACAGTAATCCTGCGATTATTAGTGTTCACCTGTTAGAAATTGAATATTTACAGGCTCAATCGTGCATCTGAAGAACCATGATTTAAGTCCAACGAATTTAAGTCTTACATCTCATATCTTGATTCCTCCACACTTACTTTTAATCCAGAGAGAAAATTTTTAATAAAAATTTTTGTTCACACAATGATTTTCAAATATACCAATCAGTTGTTCCAATTTTGTTTTTAAATCTCAAATATGTTATTAATTTTTCTTGGAAATATATGAAAAGTGAAAAGAGCGCAAAATAAATGAAATGGTGAGAGGATAAGGGGTGAAAATATCATCTTTCTTCACAAAAAGTTCATCTACGTTTTGTGTTACCAAAAGTTTTCATGATTATAATGTCCATTGAATGCATATTCTATCGTGGACAAGATCCCTCACACTCGCGGTTAATATTACCTACTCATTCTCAGTGAGTCCCTTGAGTCACAGAGTAATCAACTGTTACACCTTCGGTGAATAATCTGTAAACATTTTTTTGATGCAATCTTTTAAGTGAAAAATATATTTCAGGACTACGTTATGAACTTTTTTCACAAAAGATTTCAAACTTCACACTCGATCGTAAAATGGCTGTATATTAGTAACCACCAGCCAATTCATTAAAGTCATACTGTAGCTAGAGGACGCTACATTTTGGTAAATGTGAATGAAACTCATAGTGGCGGAGCAATCACGATATAATTAGGTAAGGTGCAAGACTTAAATTGGCTCGCTATCACAATTCTTCCGATCCATGGTTGATCCTACTCGTTTAGAATACTGTACAAAGTGAATCATAAACTTGTTGAAAGAATATTCCTATTAATCGTTTATAATCTATGATTTTTAACTGTTGTTTTTGTGACACTTCCAACATTTCCTTCAAGTTAGTAAATTTTAGCAGCTAATCTCAAATTAAAATGAAATATTTGTGCATATTTCTATAAATGCACATTTACAAATTTTGTCAACTAAATATAAATTGGTGTTATTGTTAATAATAGGAAAAATGCTGCAATAAAACTTGTTAGAGCGTAGAAACTATAATGAAAATATTTTAACAAATATATGTCTCTATTATTATATGTCCTTGACTTAATTGCGTGTTTATTCTATCTTTTAGAATAAAAGCCTTTTAATTTTTGAAAGAAAAAATTAATGTTGTATAAAATTAAATTCCACTCCGTTTGATCGTTAACAAAAATGAATAGCACAATTTTTCCAGTTGAACAAAATAGTATACAAAACTGGATAATTATTTCTTCGTTACTTTATGCAACTACTATAAACGATTAAAACAGTCAGTCATTATGCTTTGAAATTTTTTTTCTTTTAATTTACCTAAATGGTGTGGAAAATAAACGGTTAACAATTAACAACAAATAAAACAATAACTACAATAACTTTTAACATATTTTAATCTGTTGGCCATCGTTCAGCAAACGTTCTAATAGATTTAATAATACCATTACCAAGCAATTGCCAAGACTTAATCATTTCGTTAATATCGATTACACCATTTTGTTTTGATAAATTTTTATCTTTTGATCGTACATTATTTTCAAATACGCTCGGTTTTAAGAAAACACAAATTACTAAACCACCAAATTCATCATGAAAAAATTCAGCAACATCATTGTACGATGACTAAAAAGATATGAAAATGATTTATTTAAAATAAATAAAACAAAATATAGATTCATTAATCTATAGATAGAAAATAATATAGTATTAAAAAAAACATAGAACGAATCATACTCTTAATTCATTGATATAAAGACGTGCAGGATCAAAATCTACAACTGGTAATGAATTGACAGATTCATCATCATCTTCTTCTTCATTTGCTATTTGTTTTCTTCCAATATAAAATAAATCTTTTAATTGATCGATACCTTGATAGGCTCGAGGACATTGGAGAGGATTTAATTCGATAATAACATCGTAACATTTTAAACTTGGACGAAATAACAACTATAATTAAAGAATACTTAAACATAGTTCAAATGACTAGTGATATGTCAAATTATTCCAAAACACAAAAAAAGAAAAAAAGATTTGGAAACTATTTTATAAATTATTATTTTAATACTCCTCATTCAATTTAATCTCTGTTCATATTAAAATTTAAACTTACTTTAAGAGAATCACTATCAATATTAGACTCAATATTGATTTTTGTTTCTATATGAAGTAGTGCTTCATTTGCCAATTGTATAATACGTTTTAAAATAGGTACAGTTGGTTTTTTGTATTCATCATCTTCTAATTTTAATTTATCATTAAACAATGTCATCACACACAAAGGTGGTAAATTTTTTCGATTTTCTTTGAATGTTGTTTGCATTTGTATTATTTGTTCTTCTACAAAAAAAAAAAAGAACGAAAAATATATTATTTTAAATCACATAAAATATCGTTAAAATATTCTAACTTGATAATTCATGATTGAAATTAACTATCAATGGTTCATTAAGCCAATCATAATTCACAAGCAATCGTAAAATTCGAATAAAACCACTTAATATCGATCTGTTTATAGAAGAAAAAAATAATAGTTTATTTTAAGAGAATAATATCTTTTTTTGAGTATACTTTGCCGGTTGATATGGTGCTGAATGTAAAAATATATGTGCACAAATAAGATCAGCATTAATCGAATCAAAATGATCGAGTAATAATTGTGATGATAACCACCGTTTAAAAATACGTACAACAGATTGATAATGCACATATTGTTGACTAACACTGAAAAAATAGATTAATCATATAATTATTTCAAGTCTATATTTTAAAATCAAATTGTCGCTCTATATTTTATAGACAATTTAATTAGAGAATCTGAATATATATTTATAATTTCTTACCCGTATATAGCTGCACTTAATTTTGGCATATATTCTGTTTCATATCTTAAATGTTTTGATTCCGTTGTTTGTTTTATACTTCTAATAAGATCATTTTTGTTATTTAATGTCTCATGTAAATAAATTTCTTTATTATAACCAATAGTTAATCGATAAACATAATATTGTTTAAGAACATAGCAACATGTTTTTGTTGGCACACATGTATAATGATATTTTTGTTCTAATAATGTAGCTAATTGAATATAATATAATGTTTTTGAATGTTTAATATAATCAATATCATCAAACCATTTTTGACTCATTTCTAATTGACATAGAACATCAATTGATTTTGTATAAGGTGGTGAATAGCGTGAATCCATTCGTGGTGTATAAAATTTACCATGACGTTGTACTGAACGTAATTTTTTTAAATTAGTCAAAAAATTGGCTGGTAATGGTGGAAATACATCAGTATAACGAACTGATTCAGATGTACCACTGATGCTCATAATTTTTAATGGTAATTCATTTAATGAACGTAATTGTTTTGATAATTCAATTAATTGACTACATATTAATAGTTGTTGTTCATCACCACTACCATACGAGGAGAAGAGACGAAATGGTAATGTTAATATTTGCATAAGATTTGTATCAGAAAATGTTACGTGTTGAATAGAGATACCAGCATGCCTATAAGAGAAAACATACAATTTATATTCTGAGACATTTTTTAAATAATTGTACCAACAAACATTTGTAATAGATATCGCGTAGCATCCATCCATACTAAACGTTTTTCATTCGTACGATCAGCATTCCATACAACTGACTCTAATATTGAACCATCAGGAAAACGTCTTAATTCACATCGTTCACCCCAAAATTGTCGAAATTCATTTGCCTATATAAACAAACAAATCGAATGCACAATGCACTGTATGTTCAATGACTAACGGATGATAGACGGAACATTGCTCTGTCCACCATTCGAAAACGAAGAATTGGACACACCTTTACATGAGAGAAAATAAGTTTAAAAATTTTTTTTCGAAAGTAGTACTCTAAAAAATCACTCATGCCAATGTTGATTTTTGAAAACCTAGTGAAAACTTATATTGTGCGTTATGAACTACATTTTCATGCAAAAGTGAAAAATTGTAACTCACTCGACATCGTTTCAAACAACGCTTGGAAAATTTCAAAATATACTCTATTTTAATTGCTTTATGGGATCGTATGCTTTAAAGTGGGAGAAGAATCTACATATTGAAGTTATTCAGAAAATTCTTCAAGAAAATTCAAGGTATTTTTTATGGACTTTCAGGTTATAAACGTGTAAAGCAATTAAAACAGAGTATATTTTGAAATTTTCTAAGTATTGTTTGAAACGATGTTGAGTGAGTTACGATTTTTCACTTTTACATGAAAATGTAGCTCATAACGCACAATATAAGGTTGCACTAGGTTTTAAATTTTTTCTCTAAAAATCGGCATTGTCATGAATGGTATTTTTAGAGCACTTCTGAAAACTCTATTTTCGCAAAAAAGTTTTCAGACTTATTTTCTCTCATGTAAAAATTTTTGACTAACGGACGATAGAGAGAACATTGCTCTGTCCAACAATCGAAAACCAAGACTTACGAGGGAACCACCGGAGGTGGTAAATCGCTTTTTGGTTGAAATCTAGTGGATTATAGGTTATCGACCATGCTGATTCCGAATATGGCCATGAGTGTTCCCCATAGCCCTTTAAAGATCCGATGTTCTGGAAAACCAGCTTTCAAAAACTCTAAAAAATAACGAAAACCTTTCTTAACGAGGTATGATTGTAGTACGCAAATTTCTAATTAAAATGAGACGTCTCCCAGCTCTACACGACCTTTCTGTGCAAAGTTATAGAATTCACAAGAAAAGTCCTACATGTTCACTGCTAGCTCAAACCTACAGAAGAAACAAAAAAATTAATTTAGGGCTTTTCTTGTGAATTCTATAACTTTGCAAAGAAAGGTCGTGTAGAGCTGGGCGAGATCTCATTTTAATCAGAAATTTGCGTGCTACAATCATACCTCGTTAAGAAAGGTTTTCGTTATTTTTTAGAGTTTTTGAAAAACTGGTTTTCCAGAACATCGGATCTTTAACGGGCTATGAGGAACACTCATGGCCATATTCGGAATCAGCATGGTCGATAACCTATAATCCACTAGATTTCGATCAAAAAGCGATTTACCATCTCCGGTGGTTCCCTCGTAAGTCTTGGTTTTCGAATGGTGGACAGAGCAATGTTCTCTCTATCGTCCGTTAGTCACAAGAAAAAGATGGTCAAATCGCATTGTTTTTTTTTTTTTGATAGATAGCAAAAGATTTAAACTAAAATTTACCTGTTCACTTCCATGTTCTGGACCTTTCAACACTGTCAAATCATAATTATCCGAAAAAATAACACCAAATGAAATACTTGTACGTTCAAATTTATCGTTTAATTTCCACTAAAATAAAAAATATCAATATGTTTATTTTTTAAACATAAACAAATGCTTAACATCACGATTCAGAAAAAACTAACGAATAAAAATAGAAAAATAAATTAATAGATCTATAGAATACATTTTGCTAAAATTCTTTTTTTTAAAATGACAATAAACAAAACAAAAACAAAAAATAGCTAAAAACAAAAATAAGAAAATTTATTTAACTAAATCGTGTATAGTTATACAATATGGTTCTTGATATAATATAACTAAACGTTTATCATTTAAAAGACATGCATTTGTTGGTTTACAATATCGATATAAAATTGATGTTATATCACCATAAATATTAAATGATTTTAATAATCGATTTTTACTATTAATATAGAAAAAACAAGAATCATAATTAAAAATATTATCAATTCG